GAATATGTGTTAGATAGAAATGATGAGGGGATAAGATATCACGGAGTCCTCGCTGGCTGTGCTGGGAACTTCCCTTTCCGTATCTGACACAATGGTCCAGTGTGAGCTCAGCGGACGGAGAGGCGCATACTAATGCCATGTAACTCAGAGTCCGTGCCCCGCCGGCGACACGTCGCAGCGAAGCCCCCCGAGGAAATTAGACAAATTTGCAGCGCAGTTTAACAAGGGTCCTCCTTTCTGGCATCGGTTAAATGACGAGCGCCCCTCCCCCACCCCAGCACACAAAGAAGAGGGGTGTGACGAGTTTGGCTCCCGGCCGGGGGGATCGGCGGCTCTTTACAGTGTGATAAGGGGTTAAATAAAGCCGTCAGGATTAGCCCTTTAAATGCCAGGAAGGAAGTGCTGGACCCACATGTGACATGTATGTGATGTGATGATGCTGGCCTCACATGTGACATGTATGTGATGTACACTGGACTCACAGCTGGCGTATATGTGATGGCATCAGGTTCACATGTGACATGATTGTGATGTGATAGTGCTGGACCCACGCATGACATGTAGTACGCAATGCGATAGTTGGACTCACATTTAATATGGTTGTGATGATACTTGGCTCACATGTGATATGCATGTGATTTTGTGGTATCCGGTTCACATGCGACATGTGTGCGATGATGCTGGGCTCATCTATGTGACGTGAAAGTGCTAGACTCACAAGTTACATGTATGTGATGTTGCTGGGCTCACATGTGACATGTATTTGATAATGCTAGGCTCACATGTAACATGTTTGTGATGATGATGGGCTTACCTGTGACATGAATGTAATGGTGCCAGGCTCACGTTACATGTATGTGATGGTGATAGGTTCACATGGCATGTATGTAACGGTGCTTTGGCTCACATGCATGCAATGGTGCTATGCTCACATATTACATATATGTGGTGGTGCTGGGCTCACATGTGACACTCATGTGATGTTAAGGGGCTCACATGTGACATGTATATGATGTAATAGTGGTGGTTTGTTTAATGGTGGTGTGATATGTTTGTGGTGGTCCTAGGCTCACATGTGACATGTATGTGATGATGCTGGGTTCGCATGTGACATGTATGTGATGCAATAGCGGTGGGTTCACATGTGACATGTATGTGATGTAATAGTGGTGGGCTCACATCTGACATGTGTGTGATGCAGTAGTGGTGGGCTCACATGTTACATGTATGTGATGTAATAGTGGTGGACTCACATGTGACATGTATGTGGTGCAATAGTGGTGGGCTCACATGTGACATGTATGTGATGTAATAGTGGTGGGCTCACGTGACATGTATGTGATGATGCTGGGCTCACATGTGCCATGTATGTGATGATCCCGGGCTCCCATGTGACATGTATGTGATGATCCTAGGCTCAGATGTGATATGTGCGGGCTCTCTCCAGACACGGGAAGGAAGGGAGGGATGTGTTGTTTTCCTCTATGTAGTCTTCCCTGGGGGTCTTATCCAGCCAGAACCCCACATGCCTATTTGCATGTCTCTGTGTGATTGGAGCAGAGGGAAGAAGGGGCGTGTCTAAGGTGGAGGGCCACTACCCCAATGAGTTAACATTAGGAGAGGCTCCGATTATAAGACACAGACACTTTTTTATTGTCAGTGAAAAGACTCCCTCCGTGTTCCTCACCACAGGGGCAGGGCGGCTGTTAACCCTTTGCAGAGTGGAGGAGGAGAAGGGGCACCCATGCCCAGCTGCTTTCCTTTGTCTGAGGCTGCTGTGGATAAAAGCATTGTCTGTAGCTGGGCTCCCAGGGGACACGCAGCGCGCTCCGCTCCTGTTGCTCAGCCTCGCTCCACCTCCCAGCCCGGGCTTCTGGAATATGAGGCACCATGGGCTGGTGTGATCGTGGGGTCCAGATGCTGCTGACCACCGTAGGGGCTTTCGCAGCCTTCAGCCTGATGACCATAGCCATTGGCACCGACTACTGGCTCTACACCCGGGCTCACATCTGCAACGGGACCAACTTCACCATGGACGACCCCCAGAGCCAACCCAAGAAGACCAAGGGGGACCTCACCCACTCGGGGCTCTGGAGGATCTGCTGTATTGAGGGTGAGTGTCAATGTTTTTGATGTGGTTGCTTAGTAACCAGCATCTGGAGATTCGGCAGCATCCCTGTGATAGATAGCCAGACATTACCGGGATCTTTATACATCTTTACATGCCCAGCTGTGAGCATTCCCCTCATAGAAAAGTAACAGCTCAATGAGATGTACAGTGTGCTGAATGTACAACTAATATATTCATATTCTGCCGAGATAAAACTATTTTGATGTCAGCCCCATTCACAGAGCTTGTTGTATCTCATATGCAGTAAGTTCACACAGATAAGGTAAGGGAACGGCTTTCACATGCTATCCTGACAATACAGATATCTGCAGGTGCGGTGCACACTGACGGGAGTGGAAGGAATGTGGGGAAATGAGGATCTCAGGGAATTTTGCTGGAGCTGTCCATGGACGGTGGTGCTGAAGCTCTCCAGCTGTTAGGTGATGGAGCAGTCCGTGGACAGTGGTGCTGAAGCTCTCCAGCTGTTGGGTGATGGAGCGGTCCGTGGACTGTGGTGCTGAAGCTCTCCAGCTGTTAGGTGATGGAGCAGTCCGTGGACAGTGGTGCTGAAGCTCTCCAGCTGTTGGGTGATGGAGCGGTCCATGGACTGTGGTTCTAAAGCTGTCCAGCTGTTGGGTGATGGAGCTGCCCATAGATTGTGGCTCTAAAGCTGTCCAGCTGTTAGGTGATGGAGCTGTCCATGGACTGTTGTGTTAAAGATGTCCAGCTGTTAGGTGATGGAGGTGTCCATGGACTGTGGTACTGAAGCTCTCCAGCTGTTAGGTGATGGAGCTGTCCATGGACTGTGGCTCTAAAGCTCTCCAGCTGTTATGTGATGGAGCTGTCCATGGACTATGGCTCTAAAGCTCTCCAGCTGTTGGGTGATGGAGCTGTCCATGGACTGTGGTGCTGAAGATGTCCAGCTGTTAGGTGATGGAGCTGTCCATGGACTGTGGTTCTGAAGCTCTCCAGCTGTTGGGTGATGGAGCTGTCCATGGACTGTGGCTCTGAAGCTCTCCAGCTGTTGGGTGATGGAGCTGTCCATGGACTGTGGCTCTGAAGCTCTTCAGCTGTTGGGTGATGGAACTGTCCATGGACTGTGGCTCTAAAGCTCTCCAGCTGTTGGGTGATGGAACTGTCCATGGACTGTGGCTCTAAAGCTCTCCAGCTGTTGGGTCATGGAGCTGTCCATGGACTGTGGCTCTAAAGCTCTCCAGCTGTTGGGTGATGGAACTGTCCATGGACTGTGGCTCTAAAGCTCTCCAGCTGTTGGGTCATGGAGCTGTCCATGGACTGTGGCTCTAAAGCTCTCCAGCTGTTGGGTGATGGAGCTGTCCATGGACTGTGGTGCTGAAGTTGGGCAGCAGTTGTGATGCTGGAGCTGGGACACACATCTGTTCACACACAACCTGTTGTACTGTATGTAGGGAGGAGAGGAATACAGCAACAAGGAAAGGTGTGGATAGTTACCCCGAGTGCTGCCTCCTCTCCATCCTCCGAGTGGGCGGAAGCCATAAGAACATGATTAAAGAATACACAGAGAGGAGACTTGCATTGATTTACACCTCTTGCCCATAGATTTCCCTTTACTTTCCTAATTAGCAGCCGCGCTGTGGCGGTAATGGCTTCCCCCAGGGCTGAATCACCACATTGTACTTGGTAATGTTAGAGAGATGCGGCTGAGGTTGGCCAGCTCGGTGGTCACCCGGCTATGTCAGAGTAACTGGAATGACAACATTTATATACTGATTGTACGTGGTCTGGGGTGGCAATGAAGGCTGTACCCTTCTCCTTCTCCTGCAGTGAGGGATTGACCCCCCCC